ATATTCACACATACATGCACTCTTACATACATACACAGAAATGAAATTTTTCTCATCACAAATTATTAAAATATTGCACCCCTTCCTTATCCACAATCACATTCAGGGTTCCGTGAGAGCAGTATTCCAGTTTCTTCCTTGTGCTAACTCTGCCTAGATGTGTGCACAGTAGAGCTGAGGAAGGGTCTTACAGTTCCATGTTTACATTTTCTTTTCTTTTGGAGGGGCTAGAATCCAGTGCCAGCCATATCCTGGCAAGCTCTCCAGGCCAAGGTGTGTCCTCAGTCTCAGGATCTAGTCTGCAATGTATCCTCCAGTGTTGGTCCCAACAGTCTTGACTGTGGCAGTCACCCTGCACCGTAGTCTCCCTGGCTCTGTTTCCTCAGAAAACAACTTTTTAAACTTTGGAGTGGTGAGTGTGGGGCTGGCCCTAGGGTACAGTTGTTCCTCATACCTCCATCCAATTCCATTTCAAGCTCCTCACTTCTGGATTGAAACTTCAGGTGGCTTTAGTGTCCTGAGCTTTGTTTTGAAGCTTTGTTTGGTGGGACTTCTTGGTGCTGAGTCCTGATTCCCTGCTCTCCGTATCTAGGCAGTGTCTGCTAATTCTGTCTGCCATCCTGTCTAATCGGCCACCATGTCACTGATGCAGTCTGTTGTGTCCTATGTCCAGGGACTCTAACTTTTCAGTACTTATGCCTCTATATTCTTTTACACTGACCAAGATAAATATTCTCTCTTCCTTATTAATAGAGGGAGAATGAGTTTTAAAGAGCCAGTTGGAGGATAAAATTTTTGAAGAACTTTCATATTTAAAATATTGCTTTTTAAGATTAGCATACAAGATAATGGCCATCATCACAGCATTTTCACATGTGTGTCATTATAACTAGCCCTACTGCTTTCCTTTCCCCTTCCCCAATAGTGAAAGATGAAAACAAACTTCTTCTCACCTTTGCATTGTACTGGAATGTTATTCCTTTTGTGGAACACTCGAGTACCTTCAGAAGCTGGGGATGCCCTACCCTTGCATGGATGGAAGACCATTACCAATTCAGTGACAGAATTTTATACTCTACTGAACACTGAGTTCAGAGCATTAGAGTACAGGCTCTGTGGACAATTCCCCAATTCTCATAATACTGCCAAGAGGGTGTGCTAATGACTGCCATTTTGTGTTGTGTTGGGGGTGGGGGTAGAGGCCTGGAGAGGTGAAGAGAAGAGCTGGGACCTAAAGTTCAGCCAGTCACATTGGGCACAGTTGGAGGAGCCCAGCTTCCTTCCCTGTCCCCCCCTCTCATGGTGCTGCACACTGAGGGTTGCCTCCTGTTGGTGACTAAAACAGGATTAAAGAGAGCAAAACAAAAAGTAGTATTTCTAACCTCCAGGCAGCGGCAGCTCCCTGACATCCTGCCCTACTCTGCATTGGACACTCGTTCTCCTCCACAGGTCAAAGGTTAGTCCATCCACATAGCATCTTGCACGTTGACTCAAGACTGGGCTGTGCGAATGAGAGGCACCTGTCATTCCTATCTTCCCTGCAGGCACTGTGGGAAACCAAGGCCCACAGTAGCAAGGATCCCCGCCAAGTTCCTCCATTAAAACACCTCACCCGGACTGCTGCCCGAGCGCCCAGCACAGAGCATGTCGACCCAAACCAACAGCAGCTTTCAAGACGGCTACCTGGACTCCAAACACCCCGCCAACTCCCGCCACCAAACAGGAACTTCCCACATGGGCATGAGTTACCCTTACCATCAGCAGCCTTTGTGCTACGTTCCTGGGTAAAGGATAAGTTAATTAATTATGAACCTTCTCAGCATCCAGAGCTGGTGCCCAGGAGGGTGGCAGCAGCCTGTCCAGTAGATGGCAGTGTGGATACGCACACGTGACACTATGGGGCACTGATGTGCCTGGTTTAGAGAGTTTCCTGATGAAGTCACAGTCCTGCGTGATGTCACAGAGTCCTGTGTGAAGTCCCAGTGTCCTGTGTGAAGTCACTATGTCCTAAGTGATGTCACAAAGTCATGTATGATGTCACAGAGTCCAGTGTGAAGTCACAGAGTCCTGTGTGAAGTCATAGAATACTGTATGAAGTCATAGAATCCTGTGTGAGGTCACAGAGTCTAGTGAGAGGTCACAGAGTCCTGTGTGAGTTCACAGTGTCCTGTTGAAGTCAGAGTGTCCTGTGTGAAGTCTCAGAGTGCTGTGTGAAATCAGAGTGTGGAGTCATAGAGTACTCTGTGGTGTCATTGAGTCCTGGGTTAATCAGAGTCCTGTGTGAAATCACAGTTACCTGTTTGAGATTACAGTGTCCTGTGTGAAGTCATAGTGTCCTTGGAGAAGTCACCCTGTCCTGTGTGAAGTCACAAAGTCTTTTATGAAATCAGAGATGTCTTTGAGATGTCACAGAGTCCTGTATGATGTCACAGTGTCTTGTATGAGATCAATCAGTCCTGTATGTTGTCTAAGAGTCCTGTGTGAATTCAAAGAGTTCTGTGTGAATTCATAGATACATGTATGAGGTTATAGTGTCCTAATGAAGTCGTAGTGTCCTTGGTGAAATCACAGTGTTCTCTTTGAAGTCACAGAGTGTATTATGGTGTCACAGACACCTGTGTGATGTCTCAGAGTCCTGTTTGAGGTCACAGTGTCCTGTATGAAGTCACAGAGTCCTGTGTGAAATCATAGAATCCTGATTGAAGTCATAGAATACTGTGTGATCTCACATGCCTGTGTGATTTCACAGAGTGCTTGTGTAGTCATAGAGTCCTGTGTGAAGAAGTCACAGTGTCCTGTGTGAGTTCTCAGTGTCTTTTGTGAACTCACAGTGTCCTTTGTGAAGTCAGAGATTCCTGTGTGAAGTGACAGTCTTAAGTGGAGTCATAGAGTACTGTGTGGGGTCATAGAATCCTCTGTGAATTCACAGAGTCCTGTGTGAAGTCAGAGAGTCCTTTGTGAAATCACAGATACCTGTATGAGATTAGTGTCCTGTGTGAAGTCATGGAGTTCTGTGTGATATCACAGTGTCCTGTGTGAAGTCACAGAGTCTTTTATGAATTCAGAGAGGTCTTTGTGATGTCACAGAGTCCTATATGATGTCACAAAGACTCATGTGAGTTCACTTAGTCTTGTTTAATGTCACAGAATCCTGTGTTGCATCATGGAGTACTGTGTGAAGTCTTAGCGGCCTGTGTGATGTCACAGAATCCTGTATGAAATAATAGAATCCTGTATGAAATCACAATGTCTTGTGTGAAGTAAGAGTTCTGTGTCATGTCACAGAGACTTTTATGATGTCAGAGAGTCCTGTGTGATATCTCAGAATCCTGTGTGAGGTCACAGCATCTTGGGTGAGGTCACAGAGTCCTATGTGAGGTCCCAGTGTCCTGTGTGAAGTCACAGAATCATTTTTTAAAAATTTTTAAAAATTTTAAATAGCTTGTTTTACATGTCAATCCCAGTTCCTTCTTCCTCCCCTCCACCTGTACCCCGCATTCCCCCACAGCCTCCCACCCTATTGCCAATTCCTTCCACATAGGGGATATCTAGAGTCTGTCATTTCACTCAGGGTAGAGTCCAGGGACTCCCCTAAGAGTCCAAGCTGAGAGAGCATCCCTCTTTGTGCTATGGACACATGATGTCTGTTTGTATTACAGGGATAAACACTGATCCACTGCTCAGGGCCCCATAGGCTGCCCAAGCCTCCTCACTGACACTCACATTCTGGGGTCCGGATCAGTCCCATGCTGCCCTCCCCGCTGTCAGTCTCGGATCCAAGAGCTCTCCCCTCTTCAGGTCAGTTGTCTCTGCTGGTTTTGCCAGCCCATTCTTTGCCAATTTGCTCATCACTCCTCTCTCTCTCTGTCGCTGGGTTCCTTGGATTCAGTTCACAGAGTCCTGTGTGAGGTCACATCGTCCTGTTTAAAGTCACAGAGTCTTTTATGATGTAAGAGATCTGTGTGATGTCTAGAGTCCTGTATGATGACACAGAGACTTGTGTGAGTTCATTGAGCCCTGTGTGAAGTCACAGAGTCCTGTGTGGGATCATAGAGTCCTGCATTGTAGGAGTGAACCCCACAAAGCTATCTGCCCTTGAAGGTGGGGACAAGTAAATTAGCACAGGTAGAGATAAAAGGAAGTGAAAGGAAAAAGGACCTCCCTTTTTTGGAAGCCAGCCACGCTTCTAACTCCTAGCTTGTGTGACTCTCTGTTTCTCTGGTAAATAAATATATTGTATCCCCTATAGCATCTGCTATTATCATTATCTGGTGGAAGCTGAGTGGATTGGAAGCCCACATCTCTGTGGCCGGTGGCTGCCTGGCTTGGCTCCCGAGGTGAATGTTACCCTCCTCTCCCTCACCTGCATGCCCGCTGGGCCTTGGCCAGAAAAAAGTACATCAGCCATCTGTGGTTGGGTGACATAATTGCACAACACAGCCATTGATAACTAAGGTGAGTGCAATCGGCATTCCAGCCGCCTTGCAGGATGCTGTGCCTCCAGATCCTGGGCTGCCATCATGCTGCAGCTGCAGCTGCATTGCCCCCACCCGCTAGCTGCCCATCATGTGCTCCCTTAGCTCCTGGAGCACGCCCGTTTTTCTCCCTCTCCCTGCTACGCGGGCTCATGCCAGAGCCAGCAGTTTCCACCTCTCCCGAATTCAATTCAAATCCCATTCTTCTGAAAAAGCAGCCATTTCATCTGCGAGAGTAGGACCACGCTACCTCAGCACTCCGTGTGCTTACCTGTCCACCTCACATCTTGTGCTGCCGGTCCAGATCCAGGGGCAGGAAGCCCTGGCCTCCCGCAGCCGTCCCGGTGTCCAAGCCCCTCCCATCCGCGGCACAATTACTGCCCTAACTGCCACAGCACATTATGCGCACCTGCTCACCTGCGCACTCCCCGCAATCAGTGACCTGAAAAACCTGCGTTTATCAACATTTCTCTTCCACTGGCTTAGCAGCTAATAACGCCACTGTGAGCTTTGCTACAGTACGGCATGTCCACAAACTTCCCCAAACCCTCTTTGCTCCCAAATCTGTTCACTGAATTTCCACAAGTTCCTTGGGAAACATCCGATTTTTCACAGAGAAGCAGTGTTTGGCGGTACACCTGCTCCATCTGCTGGCCAATTACGGGAACTACAGGTATTTTAAATCTAAGACATACACGAGGTTTCAATTTAGGAATTATTAATTGGTGGTAAAAACATCTAATTATAATATGACAGGTAATTTAACACTGCACGATTTTAGAGATTTCGTTACCAACGTAATGGGTTATACAGTAAAAGACAATTATGATATTTTTCATACGTATATGTGTACAATGCTTGTGATTAGTGTGTTAATATATCTAATCACATGGAAGACACATGTACAAATGATTAAAAAATTAGAGTCAAAAATTCAGAAAAAGGTGATTTAGCTACCAAAATGGATAATTTGGAATTTAATCAGAACAACCTTCGAGACACGTTTAATTCAATGTCTACTGTATTTATGGCTAATATTGAGTCTAACCAGGGGGAATTTTCTAAATTAGCAGCGTCAATTCAAAAACTAGAGTCAAAAATTCAGGAAAAGGGGGGTTTAGTTAACAAAACAGATAATTTGGAATTTGATCAGAAAGACCTTTGGGATACATTCAATTCAATGTCCACTGAATTTATGGCTAAGATGGGGTCTAGCCAGGAGGAATTTTCCAAATTAGCAGGGTCAATTCAATCTGTGTCTGATAATAATGACTATATAGCAGACTGAATGTGTTTTCTGGAAGGAAAAATAGACGCCTTTGGAGTTTTTAGGGCAGATAGTATGAAAAGCTTGGAATCATGTTTAACTGAAGAGTCCAAAGACTTGGAAAAAAATTTAATACAGGAAATCCAAGACCTAAGGGATGACATGGTTGCAAAATTTAATCTTTAAAAGATACATCATCTGAAACATCAGATGTTGAGTCATCAGATGTTAGGCTATCAGGAAATAAACAAAATATAGCTACTAGACATCCTAAGGTGGCCTTTCCAGTAACCATGATAGAAAAGCCAGCATTGCAGAGGAACCAAACTGGTTCCACTACACATAAATGGGAACCTATTCCCCTGAAAGAAATGAAAGCTGTAAAGCAAGTGATAATGTCTTTTGGGGTCCAATCCCTCATGTAAAATGGTTACTAAGCACATGGGCTACTACTAATAAGATAACTCCCTTAGATTGGCATGATTTAATATCTGCAGTGCTGGACCAATCTTCCCCAAAACAGGGGAAAGCTTTGTGGAGACAGGAAGCCAAGGCCCTTGAACTTCAGGGTTTGAAGGACGGCTTTGAAGCTTCTGAAAGTAAGATTATTGGGAAGAAGCAATTTTCTGACCCACAAGTCCAAAGCTGATTATGATGAGCATACATTTCCATTTCATTTATGCAAAACAACAGCACTAAATGCTTTGGATAAGGTTTGTGAACCAGGGGAAAAAGTTGAATCATATTCAAAAGTGACGCAAGGTAGGTCTGAGAGAAAGATTCTCTGAATTCTTACAAAGCTTATCCAGAGCAGTAGATTTACAGATAACTGACTTTATATTAGGCAACTTCTTACAGAATCTTTGGCTTATGAGAATGCAAACCAACAATATAAACAGATACTGTGGTCATTAAAGATCAGATCAGCACCATTGGAGGAATGGTTCTTTTTTTTTCTTTTTTCTTTTTTTTATTTTTTTATATTTTATTTTCCAGTTTAAATTTAGATAAGAAACGAGGTTGCTTCACAAGTCAGTTCCAGGTCCCTCTCCCGTTCCCTCCCCTCCTCCCGTGCCCTCCCCCCACCCCCGTTATCCCCTTATTCCCCCAGGGAGGGAGAGGCCCTCCATGGGGGTGTCCATAGTTTGTCATTTCATATAGGGCAAGGCCTAGACCCTTCCCCAAGAGTTCAGGGTGAGAGTGCACCTCACATTGTTCTATGGGAGTCCAAAGTGCGTGTGTATACTTGGGATGGGTACTGATCTGCTGCCCAAGACTCAATAGATTCCCTAGGCCTCCTCACTGACACCCAGATTCAGGGGGTCTTGGTCAGTCCCATGCTGGATTCCCAGGCATCAGCCTGGGATTCAAGAGTTAACCTTTGTCTGGTCAGCTGTTTCTGGGGGTTAAACCAGCCCAGTCTTAATCCCTTTGATCATAAGTCCTCCCTCTCTGTTACTGGCTTTCTTGAGTTCAGCTCAGTACGTAACCAAGGGAGTCTGCCTCTTCTTCGATCAGCCACTAAATGAAGTTTCTGTTTCCCAGACTCTCTGGCCATAGGATTGTAGGCTGGTACTCCCCAGACCTATGTCTAAAATCCATATATGAGGGAGTACATGCCATGTTTCTCTTTTTGTGACTGGGTTACCTCACTCAGGATGGTTGCTTCTAGTGTCATCCATTTGCCTGCGAATCTCATGATTCCATTATTTTTTTTCTGCTGAATAGTAATCCATTGTGTAGATGTACCACATTTTCTCTATCCACTCTTCGGTTGAGGGACATCTAGGTTGCTTCCAAGTTCTGGCTATTACAAATAAAGCTGCTATGAACATAGTAGAACAGACATCTGTTAAGGGCAGCTTTTCCTTTTGCTATCCGCTTTGGTTTATCCCCCGCCAGTCGCCTGGGCTTTGCCGCGCCAGCCTGGTTCTAGATCCGCATGAGTCCCAAATAAACACACAGGAGGCTATATTAATTATGAAGCTGTTGGCCTTGTTTGTCTCTTACTGGCTAGCTCTGCCTTAAGTAATTACCCCATAATTGTTAATCTAAGTATGTTTCTTACCGGAGAATAGTTCCCGGTGTCCTACCCCCATGGCGTCACATGTTGACTCTCTTGTGTTTCCCCTTCCCAGAATCCTCCGTGACTCCTAGTCCCTCCTATCCAGGATTTCTATTGGCCAGACAGTACTTTATTGACAAATGCACAGGACTTCCCCCAACAGACATCTTTGTTGTATGAATGGGCATCTTTTGGATATATGCCTAAGAGAGGAGTTGCTGGGTCTTGTGGTAGGTTTATTCCCATTTTTCTGAGGAATCTCCATACTGATTTCCAAAGTGACTGAACAAGTTGGCACTCCCACCAGCAATGGAGGAGTGTCCCCCTTTCACCACATCCTCTCCAGCATAAATTGTCATTGGTGTTTTTGATTTTAGCCATTCTGACAGGAGTGAGATGGTATCTCAGAGTTGTTTTGATTTGCATTTCCCGGATGGCTAAGGATGTTGAGCACTTTCTCAAGTGCCTCTCAGCCATTTTAGACTCCTCTATTGAAAACTCTCTATTTAGTTCTGCAGCCCACTTTTTAATAGGGTCTTTTGGTGTTTTGGAGACTTGCTTCTTGAGTTCTTTGTAAATTTTGGAGATCAACCCTCTGTCAGATGTGGGATTAGTGAATATTTTTCCCATTCTGTGGGATGCCTTTTTGTCTTGCTGACTGTGTCCTTTGCCTTACAGAAGCTTCTCAGTTTCAGGAGGTCCCATTTATTAATTGTTGATCTCACTGTCTGTGCTACTGGTGTTATTTTCAGGAAGCTGTCACCTGTACCAATTCGTTCAAGGGTGCCACCCACTTTCTCTTCTAAGAGGTTCAGTGTGGCTGGATTTATGTTGAGGTCTTTGATCCATTTTGACTTAAGTTTTGTGCATGGCGATAAACATGGATCGATCCGCATTCTTCTACATGCCAATCTCCAATTGTGCCAGCACCATTTGTTGAAGATGCTTTCTTTGTTCCATTGTATATTTTTAGCTTCTTTGTCAAAGATCAGATGTTCGTACGTGTGTGGGTTAATACCCAGATTTTCAATTCGATTCCATTGGTCTACCTGTCTATTTTTGTGCCAATACCAAGCTGTTTTCAGGACTATAGCTCTATAATAGAGCTTGAGGTCAGGGATGGTGATGCCTCCGGACGTTGCCTTGTTGAATAGGGTTGTTTTGGCTATCATGGGTCTTTTGTTTTTCCATACAAGATTGATTATTGTTCTTTCAAGGTCTGTGAAGAATTGTGCTGGGATTTTAATGGGGATTGCATTGAATCTGTAGATTGCTTTTGGCAGGATTGCCATTTTTACTACATTGACCCTACCTATCCAAGAGCATGGGAGATCTTTCCATTTTCTGAGGGCTTCTTTAATTTCTTTCTTTAAAGATTCAAAGTTCTTATGATACAGGTCTTTCACTTGTTTGGTTAGCGTTACCCCAAGGTATTTTATGTTGTTTGTGGCAATTGTAAAGGGTGATGTTTCTCTGATTTCTCTTTCAGCCCTTTTATCATCTGTATATAATAGGGCTACTGATTTTCTTGAGTAGATCTTGTAGCCTGCCACTTTGCAGAAGGTGTTAATCAGCTCGAAGTGTTCCCTGGTAGAGTTCTTTGGGTCATTGATGTAAACTATCATATCGTCTGCAAACAGTGAAAGTTTGACCTCTTCCTTCCCAATTTGTATCCCCTTGATCCCCCTTTGTTGTCGTATGGCAATAGCTAGAACTTCAAGTACCATGTTGAAAAGGTATGGAGAGAGTGGACAGCTTTGTTTTGTTCCTGATTTTAGAGGAATTGAGTTTATTTTCTGTCCATTTAGTTTGATGTTGGCTGTTGGTTTACTGTATATAGCTTTTATTATGTTTAAGTATGTCCCTGTTATCCCAGATCACTCCAAGACCTTTATCATGAAGGGGTGTTGGATTTTGTCAAAGGCTTTTTCAGCATCTAGTGAGATGACCATGTGATTTTGTTTTTCAGCTTGTTTATATGGTGGATTACGTTGATGGATTTTCGTATGTTGAACCATCCCTGCATCCCTGGGATGAAACCTACTTGATCGTGATGGCCTCAGTGCAGAATTCTACCAGAATTTCAAAGAACAGCTTATACCAATTCTTCTCAAAGTGTTGCACACAATAGAAGCAGAAGGGTCTTTGCCAAACTCTTTCTATGAGGCTTCAATAACCTTGATCCTCAAGCCACACAAAGATACAACTAAGAAAGAGAACTTCAGACCAATATCCCTCATGAACATTGATGCAAAAATACTCAATAAAATACTGCCAAATCGGATCCAAGAACACATCAAAACAATCATTCACCACAAGGAGTGGTTCTTATATACAACTT